AAATTATAAGAAATAATTATTTCTAATATAATATAGAAATAATATTTTATGTCAAATTTATATTGATCATTTCAAATATTATTTTTTATTATTATTACATAAAAAATATAATTAGCAAAATATATTAAAAAAAATTATTAATTCATAATAAATTTTTAAATATATAAGTATTTCGATAATACATTTCAAATAATACATTTATAATAATAATACATTTCAAATAAAAAATCAATTAGACAATATTATTCTACAGAAATTTCTATAGAAATTTCTACAGAATATTTTTGGATAATCTATTGTTGTTAATTTTGAATTACCTAATCATTCTCTATATAAAAATAATTATGAATGTTAAAATTTATTTAACTATTTAGAAATTTAAAGAAAATTTCATTCATGTATAAAAAGAAAGAATTAAATACAAATAATCTCATAAGAATTATATTGAAATATTCATACGTATAATGCAATTACTATTTCAAATTCATGACTGAAAAATATAACAAAAATACATATTTCATATAATATATACAAAATCAAATAATTGTTTCAAATTGACCAATGTAATATAATTTGGCAAATAATGTTTGTACTTTTATTTTTTATAAAATTATTATTTTTATTTTTTAAATAAATATTATTTTATCGAATACTGAATTTGAAATCAATATTTTTGTATATAACTTAATTTTTCACATTTTTTTTGATTTCTAGAATCGATTTTTTAAAAATGTTCGATGAATATTATATTAACACCCTGTAGATCTCCAAGCTCTGGAGGAAAGAGGAGGTCGAAAGGGCGGCGAATAGAGAGGGATGACAGTCGGATGGCACAAAGAGGAGGGTGCAGACCGAGGATCGATAGGTATATAGAGTCAGATAGGAACACAGGAAGCGTCTGACACCGGAAAGCTCCTGGGGGATGGCTTCTTACGAGCTAGTTTTGACCGACTGACGACAACAATCTGTTTTCCTCTTTTTTTTTTTCTCTTTCCTTTTTCTCTATTCTTTCCTATTTTCTTGTTTCTGTCAACGATATATTTTTAAATCTTTATCTCTTCGTATAAAGCTCGACTCTTTATTTTTATCCGTTCGATGTTAAATTCATACCATTCAGAAACGATGAATCGAATCGATGTTTCCTTTATGCGAATCATAAAAAGTTTTATGTCGATATCCTGGAACAGGTACGAAGGAGATAAACTAACTAAATAACATTTTAAAGAGAATAGTGAAAGTTTTTTTTTAAAAGAAAAAAGGAAAATTCGAATTTGGAAATAATAAATAGAATTAAAGAAAATGAATTTTTTACATTTGATAGATAATTAGAAATAAATATTTTTATTTCTTTAGCTGGTAAAAATATAAAAATAGTTTAAACTTTTTCAAAAAAAATAATTATAGAAAATATTTCAAATATATTTCAAATATATTCAAATATAAAACGAAACTTTTTAAAATGAAATAAAATGTTTAAACTTACGATGAAAAATTTTATCGTAATCAATTACATAGAATTAGGTCATGCTGGATTATCTGGAATTAGAGATGGCAAAAAATTAATAATTTTCTCAGAATAATACAGCTATATTATAAATAAACTTCTTTTGGAAATAATAATTATAAAAAGAAATTATATTTTAAATTATATAATTATATAAATTATATCTTAGTTTTATATAAATATTGTCATGACAATAAGTATTTCAAATAATAACATTTTAAATAAATAACTTTTAATTTTAATAGTATTACAATAAAAAATATATTGTAATTATTTTATATAACATAATATGTAACAGATTTACCAAAAATTTATAACTTGTATTTTTTATTAATATTGTCATATAACATATTATATATTTGCTAAAATAATAATAAAATATGCAATCAATTTATTAATAAAATGAATAATCGTTGATACTTGTACTTTTTAATAGTTAAGTTCTGTAAATTTTCAACTTTTTATTTATTTTGACATAATATTCTTGCATTATGTATTTTCATAGCAATTCGAATACGCAAGAAATTCAAATGATTTAAAATCATTTTTTTTTAAAATTGTAATTTATATCACTATTATAGTAAGTGATAAAAAAATTCAATCTATTTTCAGAATTTAACAAATAAGAAATGAAAAATAGAATACAATCATTTTCCACATTTATTGCACTTTAATTAAATAAAAAAATAAACGTTTGAGTTTCAATGAATTCTGAATATAAATAGCAAATAATACTTCAGACATTTAATCTATGATCAAATGATAAAATATCTCATATTTTTTAATTTTACAGCAATGATTTTAAATCTTGTTCAACTACAAAAAATTATGATATAATTTAAGAAATATAGTTTACTTTCTTGTTTCTCTTTTTAAATTATGTTATATATATTCTATATATTTAAATCTGGATATATATAAAAGAGCACATATCTTAATTTTGATGAAAAAGTGAATTGAGTTTTTATTATTTGAAGTTTTCTATCTCACAGAAATGAAACAATATTTTTATACTGTTTTTTTATTGTTTGTTTAATTTCACGTAATATTTGCAAATAACAAAATTAATTTTTAAATGCATCAATTATCAATGACACAAATTAAACCATTAAATAATTTTGCATTATGTTTGTCGCCATGTTTTTACCTTCATTGTCTATTACATTGTGTTTATTTACCATGTGAAAACAAAGCGAATGATTCTTTATTCGAAGCGAGTAGACTCCTATTTTTTGGCTCGTAAATTCGATCGATTTCTTTGCTTACTGTCGCTTGAATAAAACGACTATACGAAGCTATTTACGATGTAGAGTGAAAAGTTTAATTATTTGAACTAATTGAAAGATAAATCTGTTCTTTTTAAGCAATCTTTAAGACAAATCACTGAAATATTTATATAAAAATATATATATATTAAATTTATTTGTTTTTAAAATTAATTTTAAATAATTTAAAGATAGTATTAGATTTATAAAAATTAAATTATAAACAATAATATAAAAAAAATTTTAATTTCAAATGAAATTAAATGAAAACGTGTATTAGTCAATGGACAGAAATTTAAAAATTGTTAGAAGAGAATCTAAATATTTCTTATATCGTGAAATATTAGTAATAAAATCAATGATAATATATTATATATATATAAATAATAATATATAATATATAGTGATCAATAATATAATTTGATTTTAACATTATCTATAATCATATTTTTATAGTTATAAAAATATTAGATATTTTTTAAATTATATTAGATTATAATATAAATATAAAAATATAATCAATACATTTTGTTATTATTATAATATTTCACAATACAAGAATTTTTTCTTTTTTTATATTTTTAATTCTTAAATCTGTAGAACGACATACCATTGTTAAGAGATTAAAATTCCTTTTGACAAGATCAACGAAGTTGACGATAAACAAAAAGGATAATTAAGAATACCTGACAAAACGGAATAGAAAATTTATATACATTCTTGTCTATAAATTATTTAATAATACATTTCGAAATAGAACAAATGAACATTATAATATGATAACATTGTTGCCAATAATTAATTTTTATATTCTAAGGAAATGTTATGTTTCAATAATTTTAATATTAATTTATCTTAATTTTTTAAAAATCGATAAATGACATAATATAAGCTAATAGATTTATTCTATAAGCCAATAGATTAAAACAAAATATTTAAACTGCAAATACTAAAATCAAATTTTTATTAACATGAAAAAAAAATGAATTTAAATAATGTTATGAATTATTTTAGTCTTCAAATATTACAATACATATTATATTTTGAATATTTTATCTTTTTATAAATTATATGCATTCTGTAGATTTTTCTATAATCAAATTTTGCATAATTGCAAAAATATTCTATTATTGTATGTACAGAGTATTAATATATTTATGAATCACTTTTGAAAGATCAAAAAAAAAAAAAAAAACACAAAATTGATATACAAAATATTAGAACTATTTATTTAGTTATAAGCTACTGAAGTTTAATGAGTGAAGCAATTCTATCTCTGTCACACAGTTGTTTCATTCTATATCTTATTTTATCTAATCCAAATTTAAATTATAATTTAATAAATAAACTTCAATCGATATTTTTATATATTAACTTTTTTTTATCTTTAATTCTTATCTCTAATTTTTCAAAGATGATTCATAAATATATTAATATCATGAATCATTCTGAATCTATCATGAATATCATTTTATATAAATGAGATAAATTGCTTGTCAAAAAAAAATGAAATGAAAAATTTTCAAATTTTTAAAAATATAATATTTACGAAAGTTTGAACATATCATAATTAAAAAGTCAAATTTCGGAAATTTTTTAGGATTTTAATACTCTAAAGATCAAATCCTAGCAGAAAAGGGAAATATAATTAAAACAATATTAACTGAAGTCAAATTAATTTCTGATCCTTTAAAAATTAAACAATAATACTCATCATTACTAAAAAAAATAATATAA